CTGTGATGCAAAGTATCACAGCTGTTGCATGTATACATTCGACATGCCTTTGCAGATTAGGGGGGAGTAGTTGCGGGGGGTGGGGAAAATACAATTCACCTATTTTTGTTGCCCCCCAACCATAGGTGTAAATATAAAGCCTTTCAGAAACCCTTTCATTAGACTGAATAAACCTAGTAGAACACGTGTATTATATTTAGTATTAGAGCTTCACTAGCATCCAGTCTTTCCTCTACTGCAGAGATTAAAGTGGAGCTCCAGTCTGAATCTAAACAAAAGCCAGCATCTACAAAAACTGTAGGTGCTGACTTTTAAAGAACAGCCACTCACCTGTCCCTCAATCCAGCGGTGTCTGTTTCACCAGCTGTCCTCTCTCCCTTGCGCCAGCATCTTAAGTGTAGGCACCTGGCTGTGACAGTTTTTACAGCCAGGTGCCCACTGTGCATGCGCGATTAGCGCTGCGCTTAGTGAATGGTTCCGTAGTCTTCTGGCACCTGTCACATGTCCCAGAAAACTACTTCCGATTGCCTAGGCGGAAGTGGGAGCGGGTATTTGTCAAACTCGGGTTCTGATCCCCAAAGGTGCCGATCCAGTGTATTTTATGTTGTATGCATATAAACATTTGTTCTTACCTTTACATGTGTCCAGCATACAGGGACCCTAAAGGCCACTGCCACTGCTTAGGGCCAACGTGTTGATGATATCGGTAGTGTGTCTGCAGCTATTGATGTTTATATGTTGGTCCTGAGGAAGTCATTCATGCAGAGTGGCGATGCATGTGCAGAATGACTGAAGGCATCGTGTGTTTTCAGCTGATCACACACTATTGATGTAACCATCAATAGCCTCCTTATGAATGAGTCATTCATGCAGTGGTAGCGCATATGCAAAATTACCTTGGCCTTCCCTAATTCAGAGTGACTGAAAGCATAGAGCAGGGGTGTCAAACGCAGTTTAATCGCGGCCCGCAAGAGCATTATGGTTACCCTCCAAAAGGCGGGTTGTGCCTGTAAGACTAGATGTCCAGAGCACCGCAAGCCCCTTACATCAGATGTCGAGCCCCCCCCCCCCTCCAATCAGAACTTGAGTGTCCCCCACTTTCATTTACATCATAGTACATCCCCTTTACCTTATGCATCTGCCAGTAAGAAGCTGGGGGTGTTGCTGGGTCTGGAGGAGGACCAGAGGAGGGCTGTAGTCTTCTGAATGCTGAGACCAGGGTAGGTGGAGAGAAGGGGGTGCTACGACTGCACAGAGAGGCGCAGGAGTTCTATCACTCACACCTTAACTCATCCCTCTGTCCATTTTGTCCCTCACGCCTGAGCTTGGCCCTCTCTGCTGCCATCTGCTGAGATGGGGGCTGTCAGAGAAGATCCTCTACATGGTTGGACGGAGTAGTGCAGGATCTGGCGGAGGAGCTCTGTCTTCCTCTGCTGCTGACTGCTGAGACAAGGTGGGGTTGAAGACATGGGGGTGTCGCAGCTGCAGGAGAGGTGTGAGGGCACATGAAATGGCCTGTTGGGCCGGATTCAGCCTGTTGGCCTTGTGTTTGACACATTGGCATAGTGTAATCTGCTACTCTGCCCACACACTATTTACATGTTGACTGTGAGCAGCAGCAGTGCAACTCAGCTCATATGAACATATACGGTGTGTAAGTCCATCTGATTTCATGTGCAGTTTGAACAACGTTTTGCTGCCAGCAAGCTCCTATGTAAAATTATATGCCTGTGTGACTGAGCCCTGAGAGCTGGAGAATAGCAGCGTGGGCCTGGAAGCTTGAGACCTGTCATTGATATTTACTGCTTATTTGTGCTGCTGGAGCAAAGTCAAGAAATAAATCCAAAGTATATGTAAAGAACATATAATTATGGAGATCTGTCACCGGGATTTGTTGAACCTCGTGTTTCAGGCATTTCCCAGTACTGGATGTATTTGAGATAAAGGAGTGTGAAGGTTTATATTGTCCTACAGTCACCTTTCTGATTAATTTTTCTATAAAGCTACATTCTATTTGCTTACTGTATTTATGTAATTCTTTGGATATTTTCTAGGGTTTTACACTGTGGCTGCAGCCACTAAACTATCCAATTCCGAGATCTCTCAGAGACGCTCCGCGCTGTTTGATAAAGAAAAGGAGAGACAGCTAGCCCTGCATCCTCTTACTGAGAAGATAGAGGTGAGCCTTGTTGGGAAGATCAATCCAGGAACTATTTTTGTGATGAACAAGGGGATCTCCACTCCATACAACTGTGCAATGCGTAAGTATGTGGTCTATATAGACTATACAGTGTCAGCCTTTGGTGAAAAAAGACATCCGTCTGCAAGTGAGTTACATATGGTACTGTTTTGTGCTTGTGAAAAAATGCCGTAAAGTGAGGATGCTCTGAAAATAAGAAGTTTTTATTAAATATTTTCCTACAGCTGAGAATATGGAGCATATACCTCCATTCTCCACCTGAAAGTCAACACCAGTGTATACAACCCCACACTCTCCGCTCAGCATGGGATCTGTGTAGGGAGGTCTCCCGCATGTCTCCTGTGTGAACTTCAGGCTATGACAAGTTTGGGTTCACACAGGAGCAGTGGGGAAAACGCATGCAATTTGGACAAGAATCACATTCCTGATCAAATCGAATGCTATTCTTTGCGATGCAGTTTGCACCCATACACTTTGTATTGACGTAAATTGCACTGCAAAGTATTGGTTTGGGTATCGGGAGCATTTTCACGAGTACTCATAAAAATACCCGGTATCAGCATTGGTGCATCCCTAGTTTTGAATAGCATGTAGAAGCATTAGAACGCCTATCAGGATTTTATTGCTGCTTGTGTCCCCATTAGGGAGATTCATCCTTTCTATTTGCCAAGTTTACTGTTATCACCAAAAGTGAAAGAAAATCCAAAGGTTTGGGTTGTCACCAGAACAGTAATAGAGGGGAAATCTCCCAATTGGGGCTTGAGTTCTGGTGACACCCTAGGATTCCATCACTTTGCAGGGATTTCCTCTCACTTTCATTCTTGGCTGTGGGACAGGAAGTGAAGGGAAATCTCCTTAATGGTACACAAATGGCAAAAAAAATCCTGACGGGTTATAACACTCCCTTACTTTAATCAACATGAAAGAAAAAAAGTTTTGTCTTTAGTCTCACTTAAATTTTTTTTTTAAAGCATCTTCAACTTACGGCATTTTTTAATAAGTGTCCAAAACTTTTGCACAGTACATTTTGTACATTGCAGGAATTTTAGAAAATTGCTGATTATTTTTACTCTTGGCTGTTCTTTGAGCAAACTGAATGGCATCCAGGTGTTAGCTTAAATGTAAGTGTATTCCAGTGTTATAATAAGAGAAAAAACAACTGGGAATGCACAGAGCTAATCCTAAGAGCAGAAAATGTTATTCTGGAGGAGTTCTGTACACAGAGCATGTACAAGATGCCCTTTGGTTTCCATGGTTACAACAAAGTGACAGTTTAGTTTTTTGGCAAATTTAGAACATCTTAGCTGATCTGCAGATTGTAATGGAAAGCTAATTTTGTAAATATTCTTACTTTATGTACTTTGTATCAGTTGTGTATAATATTTAATTTTTTATTCAATTTGAAGTTTTCATTAAAAGAGAAGCATGGGATTTGCTTTTTTTAAAAAAAAAATCATACTTACATAGATGGATGCAGCATTGGTTTGGTGCTGCATCTGTCCCCTCCCCCTCCTCCGTGTGAGAACTCCGTGATCACACGACTGCTGATCGCTGAGTTCTCACAGCCGCTCTGAGCAGAGAGCGGTGACTGTCAGTCACAGCTCTCTCCTCTGCCCCTCCACACTCACTGGAATGCTGGGCTGTGCAGTGGGAGAGAGCAGGTGGCTCAGGCTTTCAGAGGATTGCTGAGAGGCTGAGCCAGGTGCCGCTCCAGACTCTTGGGTGGATCCTGACTTTAAAACCTGGATGGGCTGAATGACAAAAGCCGATAGCGGGCTTCAGCCCACTGTCAACTGAAAATGGGTCACAGGAGTGCAGAACAAACTGCACTCCTGTGATCCACATGAGACGTACAGCCAAACAAGCTTTGTCTGTATTTCCTCTTTAAGCCTGGTTCACACTTCTGCAATTTCTGGTGCGACTTGCGACACAGAAAGTCACAAGATAAGTAAAAACACATTAATTCCAATGGGTGCCATCTTAATTGCTATAACTCAAGTTGCAGCGACAAAAAAAAAATTAGTTCCTGCACTAATTGTCTGAGTCTTTCATGTGACGTGAGTGCCAAAGACTGCATTGTTAAAATCATAAAAGTCGCAAGGTAGTCAAATCTTTGGCGACTCTGGCTGCAACTTCAGAGCGATTTTTAAAGCCAAAGTCAAATGAATTGCATCAAGTCATAAGCAAGTCGCAATGCAAACTTGTATGACTTTGGGGTTGAACCGAGCCTAAATGATGCCACTGATAATCATGCCTATGTCTGACTTGGAAAAACATTCTAATAGGTGCAGTCTTCATCTGATAGATTTGGAGATTAATGTAATCACATTTAGGGTGCATTCACATCTATGTATTTAACGCATTTTAAGAAATGTATACAGGTTAGCCATTCCGTTCTGGTTCATTTCTGTGTGTTGCAGCAAAGCATGTTGTCGGTTTTGCTTGTTTTTGCTAATTAGGGATTTTTGTAACAACTCAGTAGGTCTTGCAAGAACTCTCTATAGCTGATTTACCAAGCATATAGGTTTGCTTAGCTTAGTAAATAAGTGAAGCTCTATTAAAATGACACTAAATAATATCCCTATTTTCCTCAAATAATCCATACACATCTACTGCTTAACCATGTCAGTACTGGACATTTCACCTCCTTCCTGCTTTCACACTTTGAATGACAATTGCACGGTCATGCAACACTGTACCTAAACAAACTTAATATTTTTTTTGAGACAGAGTTTCCTTTTGGTGGTATTTATTCACCATTGGGTTTTTCTTAGTTTCTGGTTTAAAAATTTGCAAAGTAATTTTTCTCCATTGATGTGCATTGATGAGGCTGCACTGATGAGGTGACACTAATGGGCATTGATGAGGAGGCACTAATAGGCGGCACAGATGGGCACTGATAGGCAGCCCCAATGGGGCTGCACTGATAATCGGGGCACCGATGATCAGTGACCTTATTATCAGTGTAAATGTCCCCTGTGTGAATTGCCGATTACTGGCTCTCACACTGATAGGGCTTGAGAAAAAGATTGCCAATAACTGACACATCTGTTTACAGTGTGATCAGCTAAGAGTGCACACAGCTGATCACATGGTAAAGGGGCCGCTGTGGTTGGCCCTTTACCGGGAACTGTGGTCAGCTGCTTCCATAGGACAAGCTCTCTCCCAGAACTGGACAACCTTGCTGTAGCCATCTTTTGGAATAAGTTAATAGCCTAGTAATCTATTTTTAAAGAAATAATTTCTTTGTTTTTCTGCCTCCTTTTATCTTCTTTGAGCACCCAAACCTATCCTTTTCCCCCCTAATTTCCCTTTGTTTGGAAGGAGCAGTGCATGTTATTTGCGGTCACGGACATTGCTCTATGCATCTTACAAATCCCATACTTCAATTTGGGACTACAATGATACTTACAGAGAGACCATAGAGAATAAATGTAGCTGCCCTCTAACAGGAAGTCGAGTCACAGCAGCAAAATCAAAGCAATTTGGAGGAGGCTGAGAGTAATAGGTACTTTTTAAAATTAATACACAAAAATATATTTTTTTCTTTCTAAACCAGAATTTAGTGTCACTTTAACTGTAAATACCCAATTATGTTCAAGGGAAATTAAAAAAGTACTTGTTGTGATTGATGATTGATATGTGAATGTGATGGACATTCACTGTGGATAGCAGTCTGTACTGCACTAGTTAATCAACCACTCTGTGTTGTAGGGGATCAGATGACTTGGTGTGAATTGTATGAACTGATTTTATTGTGTTTTTTAAAGTGGTTGTAAACCCTTACATATACCCAGTGAAGTAGCTGGCCTCAGGTGATACACAGAGATGAAACAAATCCTCCTGTATAAGTTGTACCTTTTTATCTAAGCCATCTTTCCCATACATCTGTTCATAGTGTATAATTTACACAGGACCTCTCAGCTCTGAAAGCAGGGGGTGGGGATCTGAAGTTTCAGCAGTGAGCAGAGCTCTGAGAGCTGATTGGAGGGAAGGGACACACCACACCCCCTCCACACAGCTCACAGGAACAGGCTATCAATCACATGCTGTTCTCTCCCCCTCACCATTTTTCTCTTGGTGTCAGGAAAACTTGTCAGAAATGACTCATGCTGATAGCAGTGGAATGAGGCAGGAGACAGAAATGACACTCAGTGCTCTGAATAGAGACAAGTACACACTATAGAGGGATATGCTTTGTTCATATTTCATGTCTGAGGTTTACAACCACTTTAAGTATCAGATCTATATATCTATCAGATGTAAATGGGGACACCATTTATCTTTCTGAAGCATATAGGTTTCCGTCAAATTATTTGCGTTCTTTCATTCTTATCTTCTAGTATTACATGACATCAAATTTGGGAATCTCTGTGGGACTGCATTGTTAGGACAGTTTCTCTGTACATCGTATTTCTTATGATAGGAAAGGTAATACTGCCGTGTATGAGAACGTGCAGCTGTCAGTGCCGTCATTCCTGTAATTTTCGCTGAACAAAAAGCGAACGTATTACAGTAACCACACACAGTCACATAAACACCTTAACACTTAAGGAGGATTTCAATTCCCTTTCTTGTTTTATTTAATTTTTTTATTTTTTTTCTGTGTTCTCTTACCTGTACTGCAGTTTGTCCACAAATAACATACACAGCCAGATATTCCTGAGTTGTGTGCTGCAATCTGCCCCTCCCCTGCTTCATTCTGGGTCCCATACCTCCTTCTTCTATACATGAGGCTAGGTGTCTCTTCTAAGTTTTTTTTTTTCTTTTTTCATCTGGCCCCCTGATGACACTACGCATGCACAGTGTACACGAGAATGTCCGGTGCATGTGCAGTGTGCCTGAGATTGCCCCGAAGCCTCCTGGGATGAATGGCATGAATATCTTGGGAGGTTTCAGGAAGGTGGTATACATCATTCTCGCCTAAGTTAGAAAAGGTGGAAGAGTGGGTCTAGATCCCCCAAAAAGAGGTATTTGGGGGAGAGGGGATTTTTAGTGTGATTTTATAAAAGCGGAGGGAGAATAATATTTAGTGTATAAAGAGGGTGAGCGTGCTCTTTAAAGTGCCCTAAGGGGGTTAAGATGGTTGTTAACAGTGATGTAGCAGCTGAGATGGTTGTAGACTAGGCATTCTAGAGGGAACGGGAATAAGGAGATGGGTCTTAAGTTGTTAAGGTGGGGTCCAGCAGGAACTTTATGAACATAAGGTATGGGGTGACCCGCTCTTGTTTTAGAGGAATGGGAAAGTTGTCAGTAGGCAAGGAGAGATTAAAGATGTGAGTTGGAACTTACAGTCGGTCCACTTCAACATTAAAGACAAACCTTTTTTTATCAGTTTTTTTCTCTGTTCCCAGTGGGGAGATTTCCCTTCATTTCATAGCCAAACAGGAAGTGACAGTAAATACCTTCAAATTACTGGAATCCCTTGGGGCCCCTCGGGTCACCAGAACTAGTGTCCCCATTGGAAGGTTTACCCTCTATTACTTTTCTGGGGACAACCCAAAATTTGGGATTTTCTTTTTACTTTCACATTCAATGATAATGGTAAACGGCATAAACAGGGTGAATCTCCTTAACAGGGGCACAGTCTGATAAAAACATTACAGGTGTTCTAATCCAGCTCCACTCTGTCTAAAACTAAAAAAAAATTATCTTTAGTTCTACTTCAAAGTGATATTGAAACCCCCTAGCTAAAAAAAATATATTGCATCAGACCCCAGCAATTACCATGCTTGCTGTGTGTAACTTTAGTGGGTGAATCTAATTAGTGGGGACGCAGACAGCAATAAACTATGAAGGGCACTATTCCTTCCAAAAAAAAAAATCTTGGCTATATGTATACTTTAAAATGGCCAGTAGAGGGCGGAAGCTTCCTGTGGATGGAAAACCATCTCCTTTTCTGTGAGCTGAACATAAGGTGGAATTCTGCAAGTAGTTTTTAATAACAGAAAATTGTTTTCTGCTACCGTTGCTACTTCACAATTCTTCACTGCACAAAGGGGATTGTCGTTTCAGTTTGATATTCTGCGTTGCTGTCGATTCTGGTGAAGGGGAAAAAAAAAAAAAAAAAAATGTAGTCGATGCTACGAAGCTTCACTCAATAGCCAGAGCTGTAGACACTGCTAAGCCATGCCTATTATGTAGTCCACCATTTATAAGCACAGGAAAAGAAACGGACATTCCTTTTGCAGATGGGAAACTTTTTTTTTAATTTTTTTATTTATTTATTTTTTTTAATGCAGGTTATAAAATTAAATCATGCATTTGATTGGTTAATATGGTCAACTTGTATTATTTTCCATATTTTGTGCTGGCAACAATATCTACAATGCTTTGCTGAACTGTAAATCGGTACCGGCCTTCTATCTAGAGAAATGACTATATTGACAATTAATAAGTGTGAGCTGATTTGCTTATGGAAAAAAAATTGTCATCCTGTTTAGCCAGGCTTGTGATTTCACATATCTCTATTGCATTGTACAGGCTAGAGTCCATTGGGGCAGAAACTGCTAAAGCCTCTATTATGTCTCAGGGCTCATGCACACAGATGTATCTGCAGGCATATGGCCATACAACATAACATACATTGTATTTGTGTGGTCTGGATGCCCCATCTGCTGTGTAGTTCTGCCCATAGGAATGAATAAAAAAATATGCTTTCCACGTTTAGGAAAATAGTCCTCAGGCAGTTAACTCGGGCGCACACAGCTCCTCTGGCCTAGTCCTTGGGCCGTTAACTTGGGCGCACACAGCTTCTCTGGCCTAGTCCTCAGTCCATCGACTCGGGCGCACACAGCTTCTCTGGCCTAGTCCTCAGGCCTTTAACTCGGGTGCGCACAGCTCCTCTGGCCTAGTTCTCGGGACTTTAACTCGGGTGCAAACAGCTCCTCTGCCCTAGTTCTTAGGCCATTAACTCGGGCTCAAACAGCTCCTCTGTCCTAGTCCTCAGGCCATTAACCCGGGCGCAAACAGCTCCTCTGTCCTAGTCCTCAGGCCATTAACCCGGGTGCAAAAACAGCTCCTCTGCCCTAGTCCTCAGGCCATTGACTCGGGTGTACACAGCTCCTCTGGCCAAGTCTCAGGCAGTTAACTCGGGCGTACACAGCTCCTCTGGCCTAGTCCTCAGGCCGTTAACTCAGGCGCACACAGCTCTTCTGGCCTAGCCCTCGGGCCGTTAACTCGGGCGCACACAGCTCCTCTGGCTTAGTCCTTGGGCCGTTAACTCAGGCGCACACAACTCCTCTGTCCTAGTCCTCAGGCCGTTAACTCAGGCGCACACAACTCCTCTGGCCTAGTCCTCAGGCCTTTAACTCGGGTGCGCACAGCTCCTCTGGCCTAGTCCTCAGACCGTTAACTCAGGCGCACACAGCTCCTCTGGCATAGTCCTTGTTAACTTTCTCTTGCAGACATTCATACTCTGCCTGCCACCTGCAGCCTCTCTGACTCCTGTAGGAGACCTTCTGTCTCTCTTGGGTGGAGCCCTGAGGTATTCCTAAACCTCCATTATTAGGGCTGTGTGCACCTGGGCACACACCCTGCTGTTCTTCCACAGAACCCGAACACTGGGTTGGAGATTCCGTCCTGCCCAAGGCACTATGGAATCTCCAAACAAGGGAGCCCCATCCAGGACTACTAAAACCTGGAGAAAGCTGCAAAAGCAGTTTTCTCCATTCAGAAAATCTGCTCCCTTGTCCTGCACTCAGCAAAAGTGCAAACCCTGTAACCACTTACACAGTCACAGAACCTCGTACTGTCACATAGGACACTGGGTATTTTGTAATTCATTCCTATTGATAGAGCTACACAGCAGCTAGGGCTCCTGGTCACCACAAATACAGGTATTTTGTGCCGTACAGCCATATGCCTGCAAATATGTACGTGCACAGGAGCCTTGGGGTTGTGGGCATAGGCTCACAAAAACACATGGAGTATATAATATAATAGTGTGTCTGATGGGAAATTAACTCAAGTTCCCAACACTGCAAAACAAGAGTGCTGATCATGCTCTGGCAGCAATTTGGTCAGGAGCCAGTTGACCCGTCATTATGTGAGTTGTGTGAGAAAACTGGAGAATCTGGAGGAACCGCAAACGTTTTTGGAGAACATGCACGCTTCTTGTAGACAGACATCCTGGTGAGAATTAACACCAATACCCCAGTGCTGCAGGCTACAGTAATGACTGCATAGCTGATGAGATGGGGGATTCTGAGATAGTTGAAAGTTCATACCAATAACAGCCAGTCTGGTTTTACCTTTCATTTTGTGGATAACTGAAAGAAGAATTCTGATAGGTCTCTGTGGGCAGCCTCACCACTTGTATGCTGACTTTTTTTATGCTCCACTTATATTGAATCAGCCCCTATGGCTGACTCAGTGATTTAAAGCCGAGCTCCACCCAAAAGGGGTAGTTTCGCTTTAAGCCTTTGTCCCCTGCTCCCCATTAAGGATTGCAACCCAATTTTGACAGCTACCCGCTCCCACCCTCCCTGTAGTCCTCTGGGACACATGACATGCCCCAAAAGACTATGGGACCATTCACAAAGCGCAGCGCTTCTCGCGTATGCACAGTGGGCACCCGGCTGTAAAGCCGCAAGCTGTTACAGCTGGGTGCCCACACTGAAGATGCCGGTGCCAGGGAGAGAAGACGGCCAGTGAAACCAGCGGTGGTGAGGACACCGCTGGACCAAGGGACAGGTGAGTGGTTGTATTTAAAAGTCAGCAGCTACAGTATTTGTAGGTGCTGACTTTTATTTATTTTTTTTTTCAGATGGAACTCTGCTTTAAGATCTTTATTTTACCTCTCCAAACTGGAACTGAAAAGTTTTTTTTAAAGTGATATAAAACACACACTGTTTAATTTCCATTGTCCCTTCTCTTTCTGTATGTAGATAATGGCATTGTAATTATTTTAGGAAAAAAACAAAACTTTTTTCCTAATTGATATACAGCTGTCACATGGCCCAGCTCTTTCCCAGCCTGTCTGTAGGGAAACCTAAGCAGGAGGAGCTTCTAGTCCTCTGCTACTGGTCACATTTTCAACTTTTGAACAGATTTTGGAATACTGAGGAAAAATAAAAAATATCAAATTGTGTTAAATCGTCATACAAATATATATTCGAAATGGAATCTTGATTATTTTTTGGCAATGACATGATGTGAGTGGATTTCTTCCAGTCACAGGCTGTGTCATGCCCTTCCAGCCTGTGTCTTCGAATAAGAGGGAGGTGAAGCCTCCATCAATCTGCATGTAATATCCCACCCTCATCATGTTTAGCTGGTTAGTGGCCATGAAGGAGGGGGTAAGGTGTGGGCTGTCATTTACTACTGTGTATATGCCCATGACTCATGGGCTGTTCAGATGTAAAAGGGAGGAAATGCTCAGGGTAGAAAATACACTGAAAACTGAGCTTGTGTAGTAGCTGCCATCACTGCTCTTCAGAATCCCCAGCGGCAGTGGGGACATGGACAGAAGAGGGAGATAGAGAACAGCAGGATCAAGCAGGTTTTTTTTGTAAAATACAGAAAACAAATTCCATAGCGACTGAGTGAGTATGAACAGCATGTAATAAAGCATTTATTGTTAGTTTTTAACCTCCCTGGCGGTATACCCGAGGGTAGCTCAGGGTTAATTTTCAGTACCAGAAGCAGTAACCCCGAGCTACACTCGGGATTACCCTGCAGCGTTGCTCTGGGATCCCTCGAGCATTTACCTTGTCCTGCACTTTCATGATGTCCCCCCTGCAGTGTCCCTGGCCATCTCCTCCGGCTGATGCCGGCATCAGTCTTTCGGGTTCCGTTCCCTGCGAGCGTCGGGATCGAACCATTTCACATACATTTTGTCCCGAGTGCTTTGTCCTGCCTGCATTGTTACTGTTCTTTCTGCCTGGAAACTGAGAAATGTCCATGGCGTCCAAAAAGCGTCCCTTTAGGTCAAAAGCGGTTTTAGACCGGCTAGAGAACAGCGATAGTAAATTAGAACCACTTCCAGAATTGAGTGCTAATGATTCATGGACAAATTCGTCATCGGACACTGAAAAACGATTTTGCGACTATGCTCAGTGATGTGCGAACTTGGCTCTATATTTAAAATTTCAGTGTTTTTGATTTGATTATATTATTGAATTAAATTTATTATTATTATATTTTTTTTATGATTATTTATTAAATTATAATTTATGATTTTGTGTTTCAAATTTTATTATACCTGGGATGTTTACTAGACTCTTGTTTGGACAGATAACAGATTTCAGTGAGTTATTCCTAAGAATTACAGGCCTACAATAAAAAAAACAACATATTTCCATTGAAAATAATGTACTGCTTTGAGCACAGAAATACTGACATAATCAGACCGCTAGGGAGGTTAATGGTGTGGGTTTAATGACACTATAACGATTCAACAAAGCTGCTCAAAGCTTGCTGTACACACTGGTCTTGCATAAACATGGGCTTGGGCATCCTCCAAACTCATCTTCAACCCAAACTCCAAACTTTTTTGTACTCTAATGAGCTGCAGGTCGGTATTGGGAAGGGATTGAGCCTGTAGCTCATTGGAGTATAAAAAAACTAAAGCTCATCTTTAGTCTTATGCAAACTGAAGCTTATTTTACCACCTCCCACCCGCCATATAAGGAAATGATGGGAGGGCAGCAGTTCTCTAGTTTTGGGAGGATGTCGTATGACGTCCTCTCACTCTAGCTGCGTATGCACGCCCCTGTGGGAGCCCAATGAACGGTGGCACGTTGTGTTCCTGGGACAGAGCGGATCACCGATCGCAGTAAAGAACTGATGACATAGGCTCTATTGTGATCAGCTGACAGCGTGTGAGGAGAGGAGAGCCAGTAAGCGGCATTTCTCAAGGGGACATGTACACTGATCATCAATGCCCTGATTATTAGTGTAGCCCCATCAGTGCCACCTGTCAGTGTCCTTTAATTGCCACATACCAGTGCCTACCAGTGCCCATCAATGCCACATATCAGTGCACATTAATGCCACTTATCAGTGCCCATCAGAGATGCCTCTCAGTGCCAGTCAGTACCACCTATCAGTGCTGCCTTTCAAGGCAACATGAGTGCTGCCTTTTAGTGCCCATTAGTGATGCCTGTCAATGCCCATCAGTGCCTCCTCATCAGTTCAGCCTATCAGTACCCAGCACTGCAGCCTCATTAGCGCACATCAGTGAAGGAGAAAAATTACTTATTTACAAAATTTTATAATAGAAACGAAGAAAAAACTTTTTCTTTTTTTATTTTCAGTCTTTTAGTTTGTTTAGCAAAAAAAAAAAAAAAAAAACCAGTGGTGATTAAATACCACCAAAAAAAGCTATATCTGTCTCAAAAAAATTATAAAAATTTAGTTTGGTTACAGTGTTGCATGACTGCGCAATTGCCATTCAAAGTGCGACAGCGCTGGAAGGGGGTAAAAGTGCTCCGTAGGCAAGTGGTTAAACAAGGCCTAAGGTATATGTAACGCCAATCAGTAAAAATTCATACAATATAAGGTTTAACATGTTCATTTACTGTAGACTTCCAGCATACCACGTTTAAAAATGTTCCCTCCCCACTTCTAACTATGCTGCCTAACCTGTAAAAGTGTATACTTACCTATTTTTAATCCACTCTGGTCCAGTCACATGATACCTGTGTTGGTGAGCAGTGGATGCCAGGGAGAGGAGGGAGTGCTGCCAACGAATGGAACATGGGAGCCTATGGGCGAAGTCACAGCTTTGGGAATTCCTAGCCATTGTTGAGGAATTTCACTTTATTTTCAAAAGTCATTTTCAAACCTTTTAAATCTTCACCTTCCAGTAAAAGAATACTTGGTGATCCTGCCATGAACGCACTGCCTGGTATAGGGTGATAATGCTCTGTTCTTGTTTTCCATATGTTCGTCTGCATTGTCACCCTCTTACCAGCTTATGCTGGTATGGTCTACTGTTGTCAGCATCAGAATACCCACCATGAGAAATCTAATGCAGTCATCAATGCAGGAAGGGGCGGGTTAGAGGCTGTAGGAGATCAGCGTAGTGCAACAAAAAAAAAAGGTGAAACTAAGTATTTTATTAAAATAAAAATGCCAATTGCTTATGATTTACAGTGCTTTAGCAAACTAAATGTTAGCCAACTAGGGTTTTTATTTTATTCTACTTTAAAATGGTAAGTATGAAGCAGTATCATATGCACGCTGCCACATATTAAAATAGCACTTGATTGACACATTTTGCATGTGGTATGTTGTCACAGCTGTATAGATCAGGCCTTTTGTGTTAGACAGAGCTCCCATTGAAACTATTCTCTGCTATCCAGGGCTATGCTGCCCTTGATGCCATTTGAGGCGACACTAATGGAGGCATGGTGGGGGTGGCACTGAGGCAGTAGTGTTCATACCGGATGCTTTGTCCTGCATTTTCAGCCCTGTGTAGGCTCAGCCACTGGGCTGCATAACGTTATTGGTTGCTTTGGTGCAGGTTGCTAGGTGTACACGGTACAATCTGGCCGCCTGCATCCTAGTAACCAAAGACAAGACCAGGCTGCTGGTGTCCTAAGAACCTATGATGGTTTTCAGTCACTTATGTTCTGCATTGTCTGTCCTTGTGACACTTTCGATAAAGCTCCCCCCAAAATGCTCTCTGAGCTCGGCATCTGTAAAATCTAATTGAAAATATTTAGAAAGGAGCAGAAAATGTTTCTGCAAAAAAAAGCAGTATAGGTTTCTTGTTTTTAAAATATTTATCTTTATTTTCCGAACGCTTGTAAGTAAAAATTGATTCTACAAAGCTTTAAACTGCATTAATCGGTTGCATTGAATGCCATGAAATTACCATACAAATGACTTTTCTTTTTTTCTTTTTTTTTTTCTTTCTGTTATTTTCCTACAAATTCGTAGCAGTGCAAGTGTTTGCAAGATATTTAATTTACTCCATGAGCCGTGCTGTGAGTCAGTTATTAAGTGTTTGCAGTCATGGTCAGTTCACAAATCACAATTCCACTCTATCTAGGAGTTGTGCCGTAACATCAGACCACAGGAGCAGTTAATGGACTGCGTCCTGCAGAACATGGGACTCCAGTGAAATCTTCAGCTTTTTCCCTTTAGCCTTGACCCTCAATCCTGACATGAGATTTGGCCTTTGGTCTTCTTTCTTCAACATCTATCGTAGCAGTCATGTTCTGTAGCCTTCAGATATTAGAGTTGTCAGCATGTTCTGTTTATATAGTACAAAGTGTAATGTGTAGGTTGGAGGATTTGATATACCTTTTGCTCTCCTACTGTTACATGCTTTGTAGTATTATATATTTTTAACATTTCTGCAGGGGCACTGGGATCGCCAGGTAATGGCTCAGTGGGTATGCAAGTCAATTTTATGATTTTTTTTTTTATGACTAACATAATTTAATGCCAACTTCAGCTTGGGCAGAAACCTGAGATATCAGCCCACGGCATCTTAAAAAAAAACAACAAAACTATAATGCCAATGGCAGGTTGCCAATGAGGCAAACTGTGGTTGCCTAAGGTGGGGCACACACTGGGGGTGTGGGGAACACATTGAAGCAGGTTTGTCCATACCAAGCACTCCATCCTCACTGCAAATCTGTAACATTGCCCTTTATACACAGGGAAGTGTTACTGAGCTGGTTTCTAAGATGATGGCACTGTCTGCCCCATAATTACCAGTGTATATATAGTAGCTGTCTGAAATGATTACATCACCCTGCCTCTATAATCATCTCCAGAACCCCTAGCCCTGTTGTGAGCAGTGGGCTGGCTTTGAGGAGACTTATGAAAATATGTAAGCACCTTGATAGACACATGTTAGTCTAGGGCAGAGGTCTCCAGACTTTCTATTCAAACGACCAGTTTACTGTCCTTCTGAATTCGGGGGGGCTGGACTGTGGCCATTGGAAGTAGAAAATCTCCCGGCATCAATGGGAGTAAACAATGTCCTGACATCTTTGATGTCATTGAGAGGAGTTGTGCTCCATCGTTGGTGTCATTGGGTGGAAAAAAAACATGCCGCCAACACTGGTGTCAACGGGAAGAATTGTGTCCCATCATTGATGTCATTGAGTGGAACTGTGCCCCATTGTTGGTGTCATTTGGAGGAATTGTGTCCCTTTGTTGGTGTCAGTGGATGAAATCTTGCCCAAGGGCCAGATAAAAGCAAGCATAGAGCCATATCTGTTGGATGGGTCACATATTTTGGATACCACTGGTCAAGGGGATTGTTAAGCAGGCTGCATTTGAATGCAGACCCCCCCCCCCCCAGGTAGTACTCACAAATGATCTTGCGCCTCTGTGATTTAAAGAACTGAAATTTTAATTAATGAAATGGGCAGGCCAGGGACAGTCAGCTTTGCTGGAAAGTACCAATGATGCTGGATGTCCTCCAGCGAGGAAATAAGGCAAGCTCTGCCTAACATGCTGCAGTTTCTTTTTCACAATGTGAGAAGCTAACAGTGTGCAGTGAAATCAGGAAAGGCCATTTTTAGTACAGAAGAGGAGTGAAGGTAAGTTTCACATATTAAAGAATTCCAGGAAAAATGTTTTTTGCCCGTGCAGTGGGGCTGTTTTTTCACTGCATGAGTTAAATGCTTGATTTGTTCTAGGGGAGAGGACACTGAAGATCTACTCACCTGACCCGCTGATCCTCCCCTCACAAGACCGGTCCTTTCATTTCCCCCCCCCCCCCCATGGTTCATTGGTTTTGTAAATGGACTGTTCCTAACATCAGCATGCTCCATAGACAGGAACAGTTCATCGCTGTGCCATGAGGAAGCGCGATTTTTCGTAGGATTGGTGGGTCAGGTGATTATGAGCTCTGTCCTCACCTATAGATAAAAATAGCAGCTGATCCATGCAGTGGGGGCATGGTAATAAAAAAAAAAACAATTTGGACTGGAGTTCTGCTTTAAAGAGTTTTTTTTTTTTTTTTTTTTGTGTTTTAACTGTGCAACAATATATTTAATATATACTCTGTGTGTGTGTGTATATGCATGCATACAGAGAGAGAGAGAGAGAGAGAGAGAGAGAGAGAGAGAGAGAGAGAGAGAGAGAGAGAGAGCGGGTAAAATAAGTATTGAACACGCCACCATTTTTCTAGGTAAATATATTTCTAAAGGTGCTATTGACATGAAATTATGTGTAATGTCAGTGCATTTAATATTAGCTGGTTCAGTCTCAACTGATGGCCTATACTAAGATGTCACACAAGAAACATCTCATGATGGGTAAAACCAAAGAGCTCTCAAGACCTTCACAGCCTTATTGTTGTAAAATATACTGATGCATTGATTACAGAAGGATTTCTGAATATTCCAGTGAGCACTGTTTGGGCCATAATCCGGAAGTGGAAAGAACATCATTTCACCATAAACCAACCACGACCAGGTGCTCCTTACAAGATTTCTGACAGTGAGTGAAAAAATTGTCAGAAGAGTTGTCCAAGAGCCAAGGAGCACATGTGGAGAGCTTCAGAAAGACCTGGAATCAGCAGGTAGAATTGTTTTAAAGAAAACGTAACAAAAAGTAATGCACTTAACCGCCGTGGTCTGTATGCACACTCACCACACAAGATTCCATTGCTGAAGAAAAAACATGTTGAAGCTCGATTAAAGATTGCTGCACAACATTTAGACAAGCCTGTGAAATACTGGGAGAATATAGTCCGGTCAGATGAAACCAAATTAACTCTTTGGATGCCACAATACACACCATGTTTGGAGGTCAAATAAATGGCACTGCACCTCAACCCAAACACACCATGCTGACAGAAAAGTTTTGGAGGGGGGGACATCATGTTGTGTTGTTTCAGCATATGGTACTGGCAAACTTCATGTGCTTAAAGTAAGGATGAATGAAGAAATGTACCAAGACATTCTTGATAAAAATCTGCTGCCGTCTAC